CCCCAAAACCCCAAAACCCCAAAACCCCAAAACCCCATTCTTCATTATTAATTATAAAAATGCCGAATTGATATTTGAAAACCCTCAAATGGTCATACAAAAGGATCAAGGACAGAGATATATTCAGGCAGAGCATATCCCTGACTTACAATGGAAAAGACAATATCTCAAATATTGTTGGGGGTCTTGTCACCCTCCTCATGTTGCTTGTTTTGCTTGGATACAGTATTATCCTCTTAAGAACGATGTTACAGAGGACAGATGTTAGTTGGAACCTCAATAGTGTCAGAGAAAATCTGGCTCAAGATAACAAAATATTGGAGTGGACTAAAGATGATCCGAAATTCAAAATATTCTGGAGTGCTTACAAGACTTCATTAATACCTCAAGAAGATCTTTCTAAGGCTTTAAAGGCTGAATACCATCATTTTTATGTAGATTCTACAGATTATACAAGTGGCGTAACCAACACTGTATTTTCTAATATTACAAATACCAGTTGTGACGGAAGCTTTAACACAACATTTGATGATTATTATAATGGTGAGTATAATCAGCCTCATTGCCCTGATCTTTCTGGCCTTGGGTTGGAAGGAAGTACTCAGAATTCAAAGAACTATTCATACATTGAATTCATTTATTCTTGGTGCCAATTTACAGAGTGCTATGAATATAGCGAGCCTTCCAGAACTGCTGTGAACAACTCGGTGTTGTTCGTGAATGTAGAGAATAGGTATGTTGATTTGAATGATATTGAAAATCCGATAAAGCCTTATTTTGACAAAGTCTATCAAATTCAATACAAGATGGATAGACATGTTAAGATTGAGTTTAAACTAAGGAGACATGAGGTTGTCCTTGAAGACGCTTTCTTCACCCTTCCATGGGATTCAGAGCCTATGTATTTCAATTCATTAGAAGACTATGATTATCAGGAAGAATATTTGGATGTTAATGATAACACAGGAAGAATCAGTATTACAATTATCAAGGACCCTATTGTTGACCAACACCGAAGAAGAGTGCTCAACTTCCTTGAAGTCACAGGCATTCTTGGAGGACTCTTCGAAATTTTCGAATTAGGTTTCGGTATGGTCCTGGGCCTCTACTCGTCGATGCTTTTCAAGAGGAGAATTTACAAAGATATCCAGAAGTATCAGGACAAGTTTGACAAAATGGAAAAGTGAATCCAGCAGCTGGAGTACAAAGTCAAACAGAATCAAGCATCCAGAGACGAGGATGATGGAGGAGATGAAGTCAGCCATGAGGAGAACCAACAAGAACAAGACGAAGAGTCGAAGCAGGAAAATGATCAGCTCAAATTGCTGGAAGGAGGATCTATTGATAATTTTGGTAGAGAAAGTAAGTTTATTTAGAAACATTAAATTGCTTCTATATTTATTTCACGTTTTAATGACTGTTCATATAAACTCCATCTTTTTACATATTTTTGTAGCAATTCAGCTAAGAAATCTTCTTCATCGTCAGCGAGAATTAAATCATCCAGATAAATCCTTACCTTCTGAAATACCACGTTTTGGAATTATAAAAGATTTCCAATCACACAAGGAGCATCAGCCAATCAAGAAAAGCAACTTCTACATTATCCTTGAAAAATATAACAAAATGGATCAAGCAATGAATAAATTAAACCACAGTCTCGACTGCCTCAACATCGTCTACTCTCTCAAGGTCCTCCAACGACAAACAGCTTACTTACTCTCCAAAGACGCCGAATTTTCAGAATCTCTAAAATAACAACCCAGACTTGCTCATCAACTTCGATTCCCCAGAAGCTGCCTCTTCATCCAAAAGTATCACTTGCCTCTTCTAACTCTTAGCTACACATTCCACTGCAAAAATCTCTCCTCCACCCCAAAACTCCCTGAACGAATCTGCCCAAATCATAAACCTGCACTCTACCCACAAAAACCGATCCCAACAGTACCTGTCAGGCCAACTTCGGCAAGCTGAGCATCAGCCATCATAATTTTAAAGTAAGAACTTGTGAAAATTAAGACTCTAAAATTAAAAATATCTAGACTTTTAAGGAGATGGAGAAGAAAGAATTTGTTGAGTATACTCAATTTTTGGGTTTAACAATGGGGTTTTGGGGTTTTGGGGTTTTGGGG